GACTAATTAAGTGGATTATATTTATATCAATATGATATTAATAAAAATAGAGTAACAAAATAGAAAACTTGATCTATGAAATCAGTGAAAGTAGTATTACTTGTCACTCACTCAATTAAGATTCAAGAGTTCTTAATCTCATTTTTAATCCCATTTTTCTCCTTATTTTTTAAAAATTATAATAGTTCAAAAAAATAGAATAACAAAATAGAAATTGTTATTTGATTCACATAATCAATATTGTCTATTTTAAACTAATTATAATAATATATAATTATAAGGTAAAATATACAAAGTGTAAGTTGAAGTTAATGGTCCCAACAACAACAAAAACTTAGGAAGGAGGTTTAGGAGTAGGGATGGCAATTTCCTCCACAACCCATGGAGCTTCGTGGAGATCCTCGTCATGGGGATAGAGATTTCAAGAATATTTCTCTTCGTAGGGCGAGGATGGGGGCATTTTTTCCCTGTGAAATTTTATGGGGAATTTCCTTCACCCCGTAGAGAACTGTGGGGATTCATATAAAATAAAAATAAAAATATATACATTTATTTATATATATTTTTTTAAATATATTAACAATTAATTTTTATTTACCCAACTTAATTAGGTAACCCAATACCAATACAATCTAAATTTGACAACTCATTCTTTTTCAGTTTCCCAAACCCAATTGTCAAGTTCAGCCTATTCTTTTTATCAATCTAATCTTCCTAAACTTAATTGCCCAACCAAATTTGCATTGGTAACCTTAGAAGGACTATCCAAAGATCTCAATTTTAGATTTGCAATTCCTCCTATCTAGTCTCCTCTGCAGCTCTACACTGTAACTCTATTTCTATTTCTCAATCCTCATCTGTGATTCCCTTCAAGCTCTCATTATCACTACAACACTGATATTCTCCCATCTCTCACTCACACTCAAACTTGATAACTCTTCTCCAATCTCTCAACCAGCCATCGGTAACTCATCTTTTTTATGCCCTTTTTCTTAATGAACTTATTACTAGACACGTATGACCATAGTTTATGCATTTTTTTTTCTATGAACTTTGCTGATGACAGTGGCAGTTTATGCCTTTTTTCTTTATGAACTTGTTGCTGACTTGCTGGACTTACTTGACAAGTATATATTGGCTATGTATATTTACTGTTTATTTATCTTGTTTCAAAATTTTACTTTATATGATTATTTGAGCTAGTTTTATTTGATGAATATAAAAACCAGAGGCATCTAAGCAGACTCATGTTAAACTTAATTTTGATTAACAAATAGTGGAGCAGGTGATAATTTTATTTGGCAGGGATTTCGAATACTCGCGAGGAACTATCATTCCCCATGAAAATGGAGACGAAGGTTATTTTTGAACCTCCACCAAAAATTCTTGTAGGGATTCCTATACCCGTCATTGATGGGGATGGGGATGAAGATGGGAGGAGGATCCCTGCTCCATGAGAACCCGTTGTCATCCCTATTTAGGAAGAGGAGGGGGAGGGGGGGTGATCGGCTGCAATACTTTTATTTAGTACTTAAAATTTAGTTGACTTAAAAAAAAACTATAATTACAATATTATTTAATGTTAGAAATTTAAAATATAATATATTAATATATAATTAATCTATATTAAAAAAATTTATATAA